ATCTGCCCAGAATGCCCTAGACCTGCTGCTGAATATGAGCAATGCTCGGGAATTGGTTGGAAACGCCTTACAGGTTTGTGCTACGGCTCATCAAGTAACTTTAGTTTAAATAATCACACAACATTTATATGTAAATAAACAAAATAGTGTAAAAAATGACTTTGAATGCTTCTCAGGTGGCAGTGTTGAAGTCAGAAGGCAAAGCTTTGGAAAAGGGTGCGTGGAGTACGGTGACCACAACGCCGGGCCAGGCCCAAAAGGTTGTGACCTTCCATGTGTCTGAGAACGGTGAGACGGTGCTACAAGAGGCCTATGAGGCCGCCACCTCCGACACAGGAGAGCTCACCCAGATTGCCATCGAAGCCTATGACGGCGGAGGGGACTTCAGTGTGGTGGAACAGGCCGCTGAAGAGAATCAAAGCCCTGAATACAGGTAACATAACACACTGTCCGATTGTCTCTGATTAGGAGAAACAGATTAATTTAGGTGTAACTTCAATGTAGGACTTTTTAATGAACTTTATGATATCCTAACAGTCTGTAATGTCATAAAAACTGCTGTCTTTGCAGCAATGGTGAGAGCAGTCCTTCACAGGCTGCAGAGGTCTCTGGGTCAGAGAGCGTGAAAAGCGACAAGTACTACATTACTTCAGCACTGCCTGATGGTGTTTTGCAACAGGTGGAGGTAACTGCGAGAGATCAGTTGTTTTGGCATGTGTAGATCTGTGTACACTGAGTATCGCTCATCTTTGACTGCGTCGTTTGTCTTCTGTCAGCTGAGCAGTGAAGCTCCGGCCTCTCCCTCTGCTGTGAGCTCTCCCGGCCTGAGCACCAAGAGGTTTTCCTGCCGAATATGCATGGAGTCTTTTCACGGACGCTCCGACATGGAGAACCACAAGAGGGCGCACTTGGATCCCAACACTTTCAAGTGTCCTGATTGTGACTTCACCTCCACCTCCTGGCCTGAGGTCAAGGTGAGTCTTTCTTAAATTGTGCAACACTGTCTTCAGTCCTGTTTAATTTTATCAAAACATATTTGTTTTTATTGAAAAGGCACAGATAGTAATCACCAACTTAGATTTCCACAGGGGGCTGTTATGACAGTCATATGAATATTTGGCACTGGTGTTTTTATCTATTTTAAGGCGTTCCTCTCATTTTAAAAGTGTTTCTGTCCTGAACCCCTCTTCTGACCTCCTCCCTTTCTGAATGGCATTGATATCCTGTTTTTTAGACTCACATGGGGCTGCATTCCTATCTACGCCCTCATAAGTGTCCAAACTGTAGCTTTGCCTCCAAGAACAAGAAAGACCTGCGGCGACACATGATGACACACACCAATGAGAAACCGTTTTCTTGCAAACTTTGTGGACAGAGGTGGGTGCATAACTCATTGTAATCTTGAGGAAACTTAGGAATTCTTTTGCCACATATGTGCATTGGACTGCAATGTTTCTTTTGTCTGACGTCTCAGATTCAACCGTAATGGCCATCTGAAGTTTCACATGGAGCGTCTCCACAATCAGGATCATCCCACTCGCAAGAACCGAACCGCCACATCTCAGCAAACCATCATAGTCAACAGTGATGAAGAGGCCCTGGCCACACTACAGTGTAAGGAACGCAACATAACACACAACTGAAAAAATAAAAATTAATGAATGAACTCGGGTACTAACATTCAGTGTAAAACAAAATCCAAAACATTTCTAACTTAATGTACGTGTTTGTGTGTGTCTAACAGCCCTGCAGGCACATCAGACAGTGATCACTCCAGAGCGGTTGCAGGCCCTGGGACAGGACCACATCATTGTAGCTCAAGAACAGGCACTATCAGATCAGGTACCAGCATTCTTACTATACTGGACATACTTGTAACTTAACATAAATAAAGTATATTGCCACTCTGCATTTTATAGCTAAATGCATTAACGTGTACATTAATCAGGAGGAGGGCACATACATCCAGCAGATCACCACCATAGACGGACAGACAGTTCAGCACCTGATGACAGGAGACAACCAGGTGACTGAGGTAAGAGCCGTCTTTTAGATTCCACAACTTCGTGTTTTAATAGAACAGTGTGAAATATTTAGTGACATCTTGCAGCTAACTGAACAGGCTCTGAAGTGCTTAAGAAAAACTCCAGTGGCTGCAAAATTCTCTACAGCCCATGTTTGGTTTGTCTGATCTGAGCTACTTTAGAAAACATAGTGGACCCGCTGTATCTGTAGATAAAACGGTTTATCACAACACACAAAATTGTTCCTATTTTCAGGTGATTATATACTAATGAAAACATACCTGTGGAGATTATATTCCATTTCTGCCAATAGATCCTCCTAAATATTACACACTGGACCTTAATGTACAATAATGGAATATCTTCTATATTATATAACAGAGCCCTTATCATATTCTTTCATCTCAACTTGTTTGTGACACTTTTCAGGTTCAGTATATCATCTCACAGGATGGAGTGCAGCACTTGATCCCTCAGGAGTATGTAGTAGTAGCTGATGGCAACCACATACAGGTCAGTGTTTTTACCTCATAAGAAGTCACAATAACTGCAGTGTTTCAAGGTGTTAATGTCTTTACTAACGGCTCTTCTGTTCCTCAGATGCCGGATGGACAGATCATCCAGTATGAGAGTGATGGGGCCTTTCTGCAGGAGCAGCAGGTGAGGCAGATAATACTAATGTAGAACGCTGTACAGTTAGAGATTCAGCTGGTTTTGAAAAAGTGAGGTAGATAACCTAAAATGTTCTACAGCAAGAGGCTTTTGTTTTAAAAATACTCATTGCTCCATGTGCTCTCTGTGTTTAGATTGCTGTAAGTCATGACGGTCAGATCCAATACCTGCCTGTGAGCTCGGAGCAACAGATAGTGAATCCTGAAGATCTGGAGGCTGCTGCCCACTCTGCTGTCACAGGTTGGCTCTCTTAGGGAACAGATTGCACTTCCTATGTTCTATATTCAGTCACCCACTACACTGTTACACATTGCTTATATTTACCAAATTCATGCAAGACCATGCCTGAGTTTGTAACATTTTCCAAATCATACCACACGTTTCTAGGTTTATGAAGACCTTTCAGCTATTGATTTTCTCTCACTTTACTGTTAAAATCTATCAGATAAAAATCAGCTTATGGAGATTTTAGACTTCATTTAGATTCAATCTTTTAGTTTTTTTTTTGTGACACATGGTGCCGCATGTTCTAAGGCAGAGTCCTTACTGCAGCGGCCCTGGTTCGATTCCAACCTGCGGCCCTTTGCTGCTTGTCATCCCCTCTCTCTCGTCACTTTCCTGTCACTAATCAGCTACTCTATCAAATAAAGTCTAAAAAAAAGTCTGTCAAAAAACCCAAAAGAGAAATAAAGTCATCTGACAAAAGGCGTTTCACTCATGTTGTTTTAGTCTGAATCTTCTTGGCAGCTGACTTTGAAAACATTGATATCTGTGTACTCTTAAACACACCGTCAAGGAGCCAACAGTAGCTAAGTTATCTGCAAGTTGATTTTCAAATCTTATGGATTCATATTCCTTCCTGAAATGTAGATGCTTTGGAAAATGGTGAACAGGCATCTTCTCTAGACTAAGGGGTTAAAACATATCAAACAACCTGTGTGGTCCATTGGTGACTCGCTCATGATCTTATTATCCATTATGAATAATTATAAACTTGATAAATAACATGAGCTATGAAATCACTGCTATGATGAACACCAACAGTAACTACAGCTCCTTGACAATAAAAAAAAAACAATCTTTGTTCCTGTAGCCGTAGCAGACGCAGCCATGACGCAGACGCAGACAGTCTACACTGAAGCCACACCTGAACAGCTGGAGCAGCTGCAGCAGCAAGGCATCCACTATGACGTCATTACCTTCACAGACGAATAGACGTTCTTTTTTTAAAGCTGCCAGGTTGCAAACCTGCACAGGGCAGAACCAACACAAACCACTATGAGCTGACAAGTACAGTGACCTCAACATATTTATGCATTCAGCTGGCTGTGAACTGAAGTATTATCTCCTCCACAGTATCATCTGCTTGGGGGCGGTCGCACTGTTTAATGAGATCAACAGTTTTTTTGTAAATTCAAACTATTGCACCCATTGCTTCTAACTTAATCATAGGGGCTGAGCATTTAAGAGTTAATTTAAGCAAGGTTGGTCTGTTCTGTAAATATTAAAAAGGATTTGTGTTTACGTGCCTCAACTGCTTCCATTTGCAAGACAATGTTATCAAAGAAAATCAGAATGGCTTATATCATGTTTTAGAAAATATACAGTGTCCAAATGAACTTTTTAGTTTTTGAATGGAGCGAGATGAAAAAGGGAGTGTTTATTTTTGATCTGTAATCAGATTTGTTAATTGCTAGAATGCTGCAACATTGTGTTTACTGAATATTAATATGTACATACTTTTTGCGTTTGTCTTCTTTTCTGTGATGGAGGATATGTGTTGATTTGGTGAATATGTTTAATAAGCTGAAAGCTGACACCAAATAAATCACTTTGTCTATACTTGTGTATTTTATGTCCAGATTTTGTTCTTATGTATTCATATCTGCTTTAAAATATTATTATAATTATAACGGACACAAAAAAAGCGAGCCATTACAAAATAATCACTCCGTTTGCACACTTCACACTATCAGAAATAAGTTGATGCCACTCGTGAGGCTGTAATTTGTGGTGTTATATTTCATAATAATGTACTCAGGGCGATTCCAGCATGTGCCCACATTATTGCAATAGCAATGCACTGACAGGAACTCTTGAGCAATGTAATGTAATACAATACAAACACACCACAAACTATGAACTCAAAAATTTGTTTCATCAACATCCTATTGACAGTGTCATCACCATTAGTTTCAACAGAGTTATTGTATAAGGTTGTATCATACTGTGTGCTCCTGCTGCTGTGCCCACCCTATGCACAGCTACATTATGGAAATAGTAACTTGTACTTAAAAAAGAAAAATGAAATATATCAGAAGTGTGCCACACAGGCAGCCTCGTGAGGTCTGTTCCCTCCAGCTGATGAACTGACAACTTCCTCCTTTCTCCAGCAAGGAGGGGCCTCAGATCCTCTAAAAAGAGTGGAAAACTGTCAAAAAAGTGCTGAGCCTCACTGAGCACTACACTGAAGATGAAGTTTTCATTTGTCTTGTTTCTTTTATTTGGTATGGTGGCGGGAGGGCAAATGTAATAATTTTCTATTATCCAGTGCCTGTGATGACATAATAATAAATGTTTATTTTCCAGATATCCCTCAACTAAAAGGGCAGCAGAGGATTGAGGAGTTTGAACACATTCTCCTGAGACTTGCGTTCCCTTCCTTTTACAATAGCTACAACAAGTCCTGCTGTAAACTCTATCCAGGAGGATGTTACAAGCTGCTGGACAGTACAGGATACACCTGTGATTTACTGAAAGGAAGAGTTACTAAAACTGAGAGTGACGGCTTTGTGGAATTTAAAATATCGAATGTGCGGCTTGGGGACGGAGGCTATTACAGATGTATTGTGCTGGGAACTCAAAACCGAGTCTACAGTGATTACTATGTCGAGGTGTCTGGTAAGCAGTCTTAAAATCTTAATTTATTTGATGTTATAAATGTCTATTATGCAATAATCTCTGTGTGTACAATAGTGCTAGGGCAAAAACTGCAGTTTTTTCCAAGTAAAGTAGGGAGACAATTGTAAATTATTGCCTGAAAGTGATTTTGATATCCTTGCATTTTGCAGAGGTTTTAGGTCACCATAGCCAGTCTCAGCCTTCACTGACAACAACCATCAAAGTCCCCAACACCTCCACGACACTCCCAGACTCCACTGGGGTTGTTTTGGCACAGGACCACAGTGATAGTCCCGGGTATTCACTCTGCAGATTAGGTGTTTTCTGTTGCTCACCGGCCGAATAAAGTAATAGTTAATCTGAATGCAGTGCATTTTTTTCCCTCTTTTCAGAGTTCCCTGGAGTTTTGGCCTGCCGCTAGTTGTCATTGTGTCCATTACAGTGTTGATTTCGATCACTTCAGTTATTGGTGTGATTTGCTGCAGAATCAAGGCAAAACGTAAACAGTCAGGTAAGCAGTTTCCCTAAACTGATGATCACAAAGAGTCCACCATTGTTTATTTGTATGTTTATGTGTAAATCAAACCCAAGCAATATTGTTTTTCTTTGTAGACAAATATGGAGAAACTCTGTGTGAGTCACTGAAACAAGAGGCCCCGGTAAGTGCTAAACAGGGAACATGTAGCCTCTATGACTCACTGTCACTTGTTTTCAAAAGCAGATTGAATGTTTGTGCTTTAAACTTCCTCTACAACCTGCTGTCTCTTGACAAAGTTTGTTCCCCCCCCCCAGGAAATGAGTGGCATAGTCTACACAACAGTGGACTTCAGAGCTCACCAGAAGACGACAGAGGTGTATGCAAACCTGAGGATGCACAAAACACAAGTGGGAGTCCCTGACTCCACGTGGAGCGCAGAGCATGATGGGATGGTGGAGTACTCAACACTGGCAATCCACTAGTAAATTCATGTGAAAATTTTGGTTTGTTTCTGTTTTTAATGGGACGGATTTAATTTGTTACGCCACTGTGTTTCTAAAGGTCCTTTGCAGGGATCTTTTGGCAGAAATTAAATATATTATTCATAGTTATGTTTTCATTTCATAGTGTGTAATCACCTGTATATAGGAATCGTTAAGTTTTCGTTATCTTTAAATGAACTTTTTTTTTTAGGGAGCGGGTCCTCTTATATGGAGTCCACCATGTGGAACCGCAATGTTTCTGCAGTAGCCCAGAAGGGACAAACCGAAGACTGGCTTTAGATAGGGCCTTTAACATATTTGTGAGTTTCCAGGGCGTTGTAATCTTCCACTACACCACTAGATGCCACAAAATCTTAGACACTGGTCGTTTAAAGGGAACTCCATTGATCTTTCACACAGATGTCAATTTATTAGTCATGGCTAGAACCACTCAGCCTGTGTAGAGTTTGAAATGCAATAACCAAGGAGGGAGGCTCTAACAAAAAGATGCATTTTGTTGCATTATGGGAAATGTAGGCTCCAACCGTTTTAGAGCTTGACCCATATTGGACTAAAATTAAGGATATCTTTGCTGCTACTGTGGTTATAACTGTTCTTTTGTCTGTTTTGAATATGGTTGTGTAATATTAAATCACTGAACTACTCATTTGAGTGTACATATCATGTGTTCTTCATGTAAATGAGAAATTCTTTAAATTATATTGGCAATAAACACTGTTGTGAAAAACCTGGTAAAATTAAGATAAGCTTCCATGTGGTCTTCCCTTAGTCCCTTTCAACACTATAGTCCCATTCACAGGTTGAGATTGCAGCACAGTTATCAGATCATGTCACCAGGTTATCTTTTGTTATATCAGTGTTTGTCCTTATCAGTTTCTTCTCGATTACAGCCTGGCCCTCCACTATTCTGAGAGCCGCTCGATATTCTATTCTTGGCCTGTTCTTCCTTTACACAAAAAACCTGTTGGCAGTCCTTTTTGTATCCTCTATAAAAGGTCAGGTTTCTCTTAAGAGCAAATAAATGAACAGACTGGAAAGATCCTTATTCCTGTGACATTTCAGTGCAGCACTGTAACACAAGACTAAGACGACTAAAGAGGTTTTTGCTGTACTGATATATGATTGTAGTCACCACAGTCAGACTGACACAAAAATACATAGAATGCTTTTAGTTGCTTTGATCAATTTAATGCAATGGCAGTTATAACATGTATACTTTCCACTTGCATCAACCTCTACATGGAATCACGCACTTATGGATTCTTCATCTTACTCAATTACACAGACTGGGCCAGACCAATGTACTGAGATGGGGCATCAAAGATGGCATAGTACTGCCTGATGAAGACATCTCCCAGGATCCAGAGCTGTTGGCCACTCCCGCCAAAGCCAGTGTTGCAACCGTAGGAGCTCTGTGGAAAGACACAAGATAATAGATTTACCCCAAAATCTTCATTGTAATATCTAATAATTTTTCTGTTGCAGTGGCTTGCAATGGTGTAACTTACCTGAGAGACGTAGGCAGATGCAGGGATGGTGAAGGCGTGTCCGTTGAGAGTGAAGGTGACATCAGGCATGCTCTGGATGTTCTGGCAGTTCACCATAGCCTGTGAGAAGAACATCATGCACAGAGTTGAATACTGTGTAGCAGCAGAAGTTGTATTTATTGGTGTATTACAGGTTTCCAGCTAAAGCAAGTCAGCAAGTCCTGTTTCATTATTTTTATTTGAGAGTTTTGACGTCAGAGCACTAAATGTCTGTTTACTCTGGGTTTAGAAAATGGGGAAAATTTCCTTCACATGGTATGGTATGATGGTATGACTCACCTCTCCGTACTGGTTGGTTGAGGCTCCAACCCAGGAATTCATGTTGTTGATGTCATTGGTTGGGCCAACGATCAGGGAGGTACCAGTGTCAATGATGGCCTGGCAGCCACCACTGCAGGCCACAGTCTGTCCATTGATGGTAACACTGTGAGCAGAAACAGCAAGAGGTGGATCACAGTCAGGCTAGGAATCTTAGTGCATCTTACGTTTTGTGGTTAGGTTGTCTTTTCTTTGTACCTGTCCATTTGGATCTGCCAGTAGGTGGCAGAGGTCAGAGGGATCCAGGTGATTTGTCCGGTGTAGTGGCTGCTGTCAATACCACCGAAGACCACCTCACTGCCCTGCTCGCTGTTGCTATAAGAGAGTTAAAACAACAAATGTCATACATACATTTAATGCCACTGGAAATGACAGAAACGTTCACAACTCACACATTTCCATCCTGTCTCAGTACCTGCTCAGGTAGACGGAGAACAAGGACTGGGACACCAGTCCCTGCTTGATCATGTTGTCGAAGACAGGCACAACGTTGTCAGAGGCAATGGACTGGAAGGCCAATCCCAGGATACCATCAGCGACCATGCTAGCCATGAAGGGAGCCTCTGTCTTGCTAATTCCAAACACCTGGTTGGCCACAGAGATGCCTCCCACCTGGACACACAGGACAGCTGTCAGTCACAGTTCAACAGACCACGGAGATATGCCTGTTTAAAGTCTAAATAGACTATGCGTTTTTGTTTTGTTTGTTTTGGTTACCTCAACAGTGTCAATGGCCAGATGCCCAGTCATGCTGCCAGTGCCGTACTGGATGGACAGAGCCTCGCTGCCCCATTTGAAGGTGGAGGACTGCTGAGGGTTGAATTTCCTGTGGTTCTCTGCAGAGGAATGGTATCTTTTTCAAATGTGCCAAAAAACACTTGGACCATCTTGTCATATAGTGTTGTACTGTACACTTAATAAACTGTATTAGTTGTTACAAGTATTTAGATCTTTTACCAGTGAAATTACAAACTAAAACTATTGTTATACACTCGAGGGTGTACTACTGGGTTATTATTACTGATGCATTACTCTGTATGAAGCTGGTTACTGCTTTATTTTATACACAGTCATTTAGTCTAACAATCTGTGTATTATATTTCATAAGATAATTGCATGATTTGTATATATAAATATGAATCTGCAAAGTAACAGGTAACAGCATTTGTCAAATAATTGTAGTGGAGTAAAAAGTAGAATAAAGTAGCATAAAATGGAAGTACCTCAAAACTGTACTTATATACAGTACTATATTAAATAACAGACTATCCAGATCCTTGACGCTTTTTAACCCCCAAGTACAACTAACTGAATAACAGCCCAGGTTACAGTGGTAGTCTCAGTAATACTCACCGCAGGCCTGGCTGGAGCAGTAGACTGAAGGGACCCACAGGTTGGAGGAGCCGGTGTCAAAGATGACGCTGAAGGACTGAGGAGGGGTACCAATGGAGATCACACCATAGTAGGACAACTAGAGGGACACAAGACAAATTAACAGATGCAGATTAACATTGACTCAAAGCATAACATTTGTGGGTTCTGCAGCAACATACTTTACCATAACATTAAATATCTTCTATTTGTGCATTAAGAGACATACAGCTATATATGTCCTTCAAACAGAGGCTACACAAGACCAACAATGAAACTTGTCTCTTACGTCAGCATCGTTAGTCATAGACTCAGTACCAGACTGGATGAACTTGGCCATTGGATTGTATGGATACATCTTCCTGTAGTCCTCCCATAATCCTTTCTCCTGCAGGGTTTGCCTGGCAGTCTTTCCCTTGATCAGGGGAATCCTACACACAAAAAAGGTGAAAAAAGAATTTGCAAAATGCACAGATGACCAGCATTTTATAGCTGGAGAAATCACGATGTAAGCTCTATCTTGAGCTTTGTGCAAGTTTGCAATAGCTGAAAGCAGAGTGGCCTTTAAATTTTTCCTCAGGAATATTAGATGGAAAGATTGTCATTCAACAATTCAGCCTATTGAGTTGTAAAATGTCAAAAGAATGAAGGAACAAGTTCCTTTTAAACCAGTCAGGTCAGACTTACTTATGGAAGCATTCGGAGAAAGCCACGAGGGCTGACAGCACAACGAGCAACTTCATGGTGACGGTCACTTTATTGTTGGACTCAACGAGTGAAGTTCCAGTCGCAGAGTCCAGCCCTTATATACAACATATCAAGGTTGTGTATCGTCAAAATGCCCTTCTGCATAACTTGATATCATGTATCAGCTGGAGATAAGAAACATGCAATATGGTGATAAATTGCCTCTTATCTCGGAGCAAATATTCCATTGAACAACTGAACAATGAAGACTTTTACCGGAATTAGAAAAATATTTTATAGCAACAACTTACTGTTAAACGTAGTTGGCTTTATGAAGTAAATCTGATGCTGCATGTTTTGTGTGTTTGTATGTTGTTTGTAGAGTATATTATTAAAGTAATATCCTTTTAGAGAAACTATTGTCATATCATATATATCAATCACATCTTAAATCAAATTTAAATATTTGTGTTTTACAATTTCTACTATTGTACTGAAGATAAATCTCTGCAAAAGTAGTGTGACAGTGTTAATGTTCACCTCAGTATAGTTGATTTATTTTCCTTAACTTAAAACGATGAAAACAGAAATAGTTATTTGACTTTTATTATCTACTTTAATAAACTATTTAAATATATACATATGTGCAAGGTGAGTTTTTAATAGATACAGAAATGTGTTGACCTGTAGATCAGGGGACTTGATGTCCAGAGCTTCTGTTTACTGTTGATATGGAAACTTTCCACGTGTTTCCAAGGGTGTAAACTGAGGTCAGCTGGGAAGGGTTATCTGATAGCAATAATACACAAAACAAAGACACAGGGAAATGACTTGTGAACAAAGAATTTTAAGAAACTTACTCAAATCACAGAATGAATAGAGTGATGTGTTCTTTATTCAATACGATACTGAAAGTTATGTTTTATCAAAGCACAGTGGTGGAAAAAGTATTATAATATTATAATAATATAATATTATAAAGTATTAAATTCTTCTGGAGTATAAAAAGACTCCATTATAAGTAAAAGTCCTGCATT